GCTTGTTTTCTAGAAACATTTATCTTCTGTTTCACATTGAATTTGCATCAACATTGGGTCAATTTTGATCTGCACCGCTGTCCACAACAGGGATTTCCAAGAAAGCAATCTTCAAGTCATAAAGTAGAAGTTAAATATGAATTTGCATTCATATGTATTTGTCGCGGACAAAAATTATGCAACTATATGTAACCAGAAATTACTGAATATATGGTTGAACATGTATCTGCATATCTTTCACGTGCTTAATATACATATTAGTGTCATACACAGTGTTGTAAACAAATGCTACCTCAATTAAAAAAATACAATTTTTAAAAGAAATGTTAAAAAGAATAATTACAGAAATATCCTTAAATGTATTCTAATTAACTTTTAAAAATAAGTCACTGGCAAACTTCGATACTTTATTTATTAGCAAGCAATTATTTGCAACAGACATTCTTATTTGGATACAAATACATTTTGACACTTGGAAAGAGATGAAGTGTAGCTGAACTGCTATACTCATACCTGAAATCTGAGTTCTTAAAGGCTGGGTGTGCCTGGGCCAGAGATGAGGGGGCAGGTGATGAGAGAACCATAGCTATTCTTCCCACTGGGTGACTGCAGATTTCTACCAGCCAGTTGCACTAGTCCACTAAGGAGCATTGCTTTGGAAGTAACTAATCTCCTATGACCCAGAAAGCCTTTGACATTCCAGGAAGGTCTATAGTATGCACACAAATCTCACCATGTGTTTCTGTCTTTAGATGGAGCAGAAAGTAACACTGCATTTTCAATAAAAAAAAGGCCCGTGGACTTAGGGTTGAGAACACTTCCTCAGAGGGAGTCTGCCCTCTCAGAGGGCGACTGGCAATGTCTGGAGTCATTCCTGGTCATGGGGCAGGAGGCGGGGAGGGGCTGTTATTGACATCTGGTGGTTGAGGCCAGGGATGCTGCTAATGGATCTACAATCGACAGGCTTCCCCAACAAGGAATTATCTTCTGCAAAATGCCAGTGGTGCTGAGGTTGAGAATCCTTGCTCTACAGCTAATTCACCTAGGTTTCAAGTCACTTATTACCTGTGGAGACTTAGGTAAGTTTCTTAACATCTTTGTGCTTATTGAGTGCCTTCACCAGTAAAATTAGGATAATGACAGTATTCCACCTTACTGGTTTGTTGTGAGAACAAATGACACAAGAAAGGAGCTAAGCACACTGTCTAAAACAAAGCAAATGTTCAATATTTACTTTCATTATCATTATATGCAATGAAAAGACTAAGAAATGTACCAAAACTTTAACAGAGGCTCTTTTGAGGTAGTGAGAGAGCTGATTTTTATTTTCATTATACTTCCCTATATTTTGCAAATTTTCAAGAACTGTATTAATCTAATGTCAAAAAAACAGACAGCTGTTTTTTTCATTTTTTTAAAGAATGCAGAGGGAAGAATTTTGAAGTGCACAGAATTAAAAAGCCTTGGATTCAGGTCCTGGTTCTATTGGAATGTATGACTTAGAGCAGGGAAGTTAAAGTTTCTGAACTTCAGTTTCCTAATCAGCAACTTGAGCTAATAATACACATTAAAGCGTGCCCATGAAGATAAGACATGACAGACACCCAGTGCCTAGGAGAGCATGCTGAACAAAAGTCTCCAGGAAATGACTGCTTTCAAAGTCTAGCCATGGGAAAATGACTGGACAAACCAGTCCCTAGATTCAAGCCTTTGGCTTTTTAAACTATCGTCTTGAACAGGCCACCTCCCATCTCATCCCATCTTTTGCCTGGGCTCCCAGAGGAGAGACTGTCTCCATGCTCCTGGCCTCAGTTTCTCCCCTCCCACATGGACCTGGGTAAGGGGTGACGGTCACTCTCAGGCAGGGCCTGACACATCTGGCTGGGTTCACTGGCAGAAGGCAGGACCCACAGTTGCTTTCTCATATCCTCCACCCACACTCTTTGTCCCTCTCCTTTCCTCTTTCATTCCCAGTCTCCAAATTCAAAGAACGCTTGACAAGGCCTCTGACCAAGGGGAACCTCTCCACTTGCTCTCTGTTCTAGCTTTTTCAGTTCAGGTTGAGTCGGTTGCCCCCTTCGAGAGTGAGAGATGAGTAGGAGGCCCCATTAGGCCTCCAGATTGAAGGCTCTTAGGTGCACTGGCCCTGCTTATTATCCGAGAAGCCTGCCTGTGCGGTGGGCATGCAGCCCTCATCCTGTGCCTCCAGGGGGCTGATGCTGTTATATAACTCGCTCAGCAGGTAACACTGTAGGTAAATAGGAAGAGAGGGTAGGCTCCAAGCACCACACCTTCCCCACAAGCCCCAATGTTTCTCTCCTTAATGATTTGTTTCGGTGGAGAAAATAATAGTCCAGGTTATATCTGGGTATGTTATCAGGAGGGATGGGTACTTTAAGCCTAGTTAGCCTGCTAACTTAATTCAAATCCCCAGCAGGCTTCCAAGATGCCCTGAGATAATCTCTCGCACTAAGGTCCTAACTGTCATGGTTTGGGAAAGTCTGGCTCCAATCTATGCTGACATGGAAGATCTCAGAGTTCTCCGAGGGGATGTCCCATGGTCCCAGGAGCTTGACACCTTATTCTGGGAACCAAAATTCACAGCTGATGAGCAGTGGACTGCCTGGGGCAGGAAGTGACCTTCTCTAGATATCCACTCTCAACCCTAGGGGAACTGTTTCCATATCGAGAGACAGGGCCAGGCAAAACATCTGAGGGAAATAAGACTATTAGCCATAAACAAAAATATCAGAACTTCTTTCTAAATAGAAATCACAGTATCCAGGGAATTGGTAAATCGCAGGCAAGAATTTATGGATACTTTTTGAGCTCGAGCTTGCTACTGCTCCAAGGTCAGCCTGACTAGCAAATATAAACTTCAGGAATCATTTCAACTCCAAATATTTACCTCTTCACTACAAAAACATGCAAAATAGGCAAAGGCCCCCAAGATGGCTCTAGCAGGATACTGTCAGAGACTGGACACTTCCCGTTCTCTATTCACAAATGTACACTGAGAACTTACCCTAAACCAGGCCTGGTGCTGAGTGCTTGAAATCCAAAGATGGAAGGATATTGGTCCCTTTTCTCAAGATGCCCCTTTATCTGAATAGTCTGAATAGTGTACAATATTATAAAAGTTGGAAAGCGTTACCTGTCCCAGGGAAATGTAGATTTCAGCGACCAGAGGATTAAGCTAAAGGATTAAAGCTTACTACTAAGAGAACACAACTGCTCTTCAAAGCACTCTTCAGTGAAACCCTGAAGGGAGACACTTTATTCAGTCAAGAATTTCACCAATTTTGGATTCCTGTCTCTTTTCTCCCCTTCTATATCTTTGTAATATCTCTTAGTTTTCCTACAGCATATAAAAATGAAGTCAATCTTCTTTTATTGTCAAGAGCCAGAAGGGAAACTATCCAGACCAAAAGGAAAGCCTTATAGTTCAGAAATTTCCAGAAGTTAAAAAACACCAAACTTCCTCTCTTTCCCTCAAAAACCTAAAATAATTTGTAGAGAGCTCTATTCCCTCACTTTAAAACATGATACTATTGTTTTCAAACAATAAAACTAGTACGTCTGATATCATAATCTATGTTCATAATTTTAGAAGTTTTTCATCTATCCTATTTTATTTTGAAGACCAAGTAAGTGCTTCTAAGACAATATGGTCAGGCTGGTCTAGTTACTAGGTTCTAAGGATGGAAGAATGTTTCTTGGTCTGGTCCAAAAAAAAAAAAAAATCCACCATGATGTAATTCTAGATTTCTTTTTTTTCCTTTAGACATCATTTGGTCACCATAGAAACACAGTGTTTTACTACCAGGTGTCTATACAGTGCAAAGGGAAGAGAGGAACTGGCAATTACTTTTTGGGTTATTTGGGGGTATACAATGTGACTACTGGGATAATTCAAGATTAAAGAAAGATTTTATGGGGATCTGCTTTACTTGGGCAAGCTGAACAAAATTTGCAGCCAGCTCAACTGTTGACATCATTTGAAATAACACGAGCAGAGAAACAGTGTTATTCAGTGGTTAAGATCATGGACTCTGGAGTCAAGTTTCTTAGGTCCAAATATGTTTCTAATATTTGCTGGCTGTGTGACCTTGGGAAAGTTCCCTAACTTCACTGTGCCTTAGTTTTTTCATCTCTAAAATGTGGGTAATAATACCACCTCCCCGAGAGGGTTAACATAAGGATCAAATGACTGATTTTCTTTGTGCTTAGAATGATGCCTTGCACATCGCAAGAACTTGAAATATATTTGTTAAATAAAGATAAAATAAAATTTCATTTTGTTAGCCTCCTTTTTGTATTTGATAGAAAAAGATCAAAGACAATGAGATTTAAGTGCCCAGTAGATTGTTTCAGCCTGTAACTTAGTAGATTCCTTTGAAAACTTCCTGGGGGGGGGGTGTCTTCTTGGTAGCTATGTCATACAATTTGGAATTTGGTGATGGTCTGCTGTCTTAAATCAGAGCTAGAAGCAATCACAAGCTCTCCTGGTGCCGGAAAGATCAGAAGGAAGATGCTGGCATAACACAAAGAAACAGCAAGCCTGCCTACTCAGGCTCCTAAGCCACTGCCAATAACCTCTGGGAACATGGGCACAGAACAAGCAGCTAAAATGGGATGAATGAGGATTTAACTGCTTTGACAATAAAATCTACTTGGTTTCAGCAATATTATTTTTTTCCTTTTTCCAGGAATCAGTGGACAAAAATATATATCCCTTTCATCACTAAGTGCTTTGTTTTATTAACTACCACTCTATACAATTTTCATCTCATTTTTTCCCAACATGTACTTACTTTGGTGAATTATTCATTTTTCAGAACTACCTAAACATCTTTTCTGGACCTGAAATGAATCTAAACCCCCTGACCAGCCTCTAAGTCAGGACAAAAAAATCTCCAAATTGCCTGGGAAAAAAAGGAAGGTATTATGTCCTCTGAGCCAAATTCCAGCCCCAGTACGGAGGGATCTCTAGCACATACCTTCATCAGGATTTGATTTCAGAGACGGTCTCCTTGGATCTTCTTGGTCAGGAATAGCCCTTGCACGAGAGTTTGGAGAATGCCATAAGCCACCAGGAGAGCTAGGGAACACATTCATAGCTGTCATCTGCCTTCCTCTCGCTCATAGCCTTCTTCCTGGTAAGGAAGACAAGATGACGCGGAGCAGAGTTGACTGTTAAACCATCTTCCCGCCCCCAGCCCCACTCACTTGGCGCCCCTCCCCGAGCTCCTTTCCAAGGCTCTGGAATGTGTCACATGGGAAATGGATCATGTGGCTCTAGGGAGAATGTGGCCCTCTTCTCTCCCTTCCCCCACTTTTTCTTTCAGGACCAAGGCAGCAGAAATCTCCAACCTGATTGGCTCTGACTGAAAATCTCCATATGAAAAGGGGAAGATCCAACCGTCCAAACCTCCAGCCTTCTCCACTTCCCTTTTCATCTGAACACTTTATCCTGAGTTGTCTGCTCGAGAGGGAAATGATGCTTTCTCCCCACTGCATCTCTTTCTTTCTTGTCATCAGTACCCTAACATGGCAAGGTACTCCCTCACCTTCGTCCGCAGCCCCCTTGGCACATCTGGGACAATATAGTGTTCAGCACCACGGACAGCATTACACCCCCTTCAAGGCTCATTAAATTCATTTGTCTATTTCACTCTCAGGTAAATTAAAATATTTAAAAATATTTACCTGAGGTTTTGTGTCTAGTATAAATTGAACTATATATTTAGGGTTCCCACTTGCCCTACTATCAACTCACATTTACTTTATAAATACAAGTAAGTATCATTAAACATAAAAAAGGCCATCCCATGCCTACCTCACTGCCTAATTCACCACCCACCAGCTTTCATCCTCTTTCCCCTTTAAAATTTTTTTTGAGGGGAGGAGGGTGGCGGTATTCGCATCACATTAGTTTACTAGATACCCATATGCCTATGTTCCTGGACAAAAACAGAAACATTAGGATTTCTCCAGCCCCACCCCTAGGCCTCAGGCAGGATGGAATGAGAGAGGCAGGGAAGGAGCCTGGCAGAAGCTGTTTTGTGTGGGTCTGTCTTGCTTTGCTGACGTCCCGGTTGCCATGGTGCTAGGTAACTGCTGAAGGGGATGATTTCTTTCAGAACTGGTCACCATGGGACCCTGCTGACTAAAGAAAGGATGAGGGAAAAGGACTGAATGGCTAGGAGGGCTTTCAATTAGCATTTTCAGAGACAAAATTACCCAGTGGGCCCTTTCCTCACCGAATTGTTTGTCGACCCTAAACCTTGAAAGGATTCTAGGATTAGTATGGATGCTGCAACGGTAACCCCCTGCATCCTCCAACCCCTAAACCTTGAAAGGATTCTAGGATTAGTAAAGACGCTGCAACGACAGTAACCCCCTGCATCCTCCAACGTACCTTTCCTTAAAATCCTATTTAGATGCAACTGGATGAAAATGCCACAGAATGAGGGTAGCAGGTCACCACAAAACGGGGGAGGCCACAAGAAACTGTCTCCTCAGGTTGGAGCTTCTGACTTTGATGAAACCAGTCCCCCAAGTCCTAACCTAAATGGGAGACACTTTCCTACCACACCTGGCTGCTGACATTCAGAACAATGAGCCACTGCTTTAACATTTCATGGGAGAAATATGAATGTTTTCAAATGTGAGTTATTAAAATTTGATTAATCGAATCAAGTCCTTGGATAGCATTTGGACTCACCCAAACCAGGAATCTAAACTAGCTATACATTCGTCTCATATTACTGGCATATAACTGATTATGTCTAACTCGAAATCCTAACACAGCAATTCTGGATATTGCTTTCAGGGAGGAGGTATGCTGACTTGTAATATGTAGAAATGTAAACTCTGTAAGAAAAGAGGTAGCTCTGGGGGTTCTGGGGGTAGGGGCAGAGTATAATTTCAACATTGAAGCTTCTTTGTAGCTCAACAGCCACAGCTATAGACATATTTACTTCTATTTTATTTTATTTTTTTTATAGAGGCATGTTTTATTTATTGTTTGTTTGTTTTGTTTATACAAGCACTGGGTACAGTCAGAAGCGCGGGAGGGTGAGAGAATTCACCAGAGCCAGAGCGGGGAGCAGAGCAGGCAGAAGGACCGAAGTACACTGCTGAGGGGAGCAGCGGGCGGCAGGAGAGGTCTGCGCGCCATGTGGGACCCTCCTCCGGTGGCTGGGGAGCAGCTGGGGATCGACCGGGGATCGAACCGGCGCCGCAGAGGCCACGGGCAGCTTCGCAACCCAATGCTCAACAGCTGTGCCACTGGGGAGGCCCTTTACTTCTATTTTAGAGGAGGAATCAGTTTCATTTTAGTTTTTCTATATGAGACTCCCCAAGAAATTCATCTGTGAATTCTAATTCTTGCTGCTTTTGGGAAATTTACTTATCAGAAAAGTTGGCCATGTGTTTGAAGAAATTCTTAGTGCTCTAGCAGGCTGGTAACTTAGTCCATAATAATAATACAAAGTCTCTTCTCTTATTAGTCAATAACAAGAACAGAAGCAGTTAACAGTTAGCATGTGCCAGTTATTTAGTACATAGTATCATTAAATCCCCTTATCAAGTCATGAAACAGGTACTGTTACTAACATTCCTGTTTTACAGGTGAGAAAACTCAGGCTTAGAAAGGATAATCCATGTGCCCAAAGTCACACAGCTAGTTAGTGTGGCAGCTAGAATTAGAACTATGTAATCCAAAGCTGGCGTATTGTACCCTGTTATTCTGTGTCATGAATAATGGACGAGACGAAAATAACTTGCCAGTTAACGTGATATGATTCAGTACTATGGTCCTTTCACAGGAGAAATCACAAAAATTGTTTTAAATTATTTGAAAAAAGACCTGATTATTCATCCCCTTTAGGATAACTGCATGTATATACATCATGGCTTAAAGATAAAATAATAATTTTACAAGGATTCAAAAGTTAGACTATTATTTTTTAAGACTTATTTTATTTATTTATGCGTACAAGAACTGAGGTACAGGCCAGAGGTGCAGGAGGGTGAGAGGATTCACCAGAGACAAAGTGGGGAGCAGAACAAGTAGATTTACTGAAATACACTGCTGAGGGGAGCAGCGGGCGAGACAGGAGAGGTCTGCTATGCCATGTGGGTCAGCTCCCTGGCCGGGGATCAACCTCAGTGGCAGCTGAGATCTTCATAGTGCTGAGACTTAACCCTTTGTGCTACCAGGGAGGCCCAAGTCAGACTATTATTAAGGATGGCTATAAACCCTGCAATGGAGTGTACTGATTTTGTTTTAAAATATTAAATTTGTAATCATCAAATTTATTCTTAGCCATTTAGACAGAGATAAAGAGACCATTATCTTCAATCCAAAATAATAAAACCTGACAATACTTGTGTAGATGGGGTAATATTCTGAAAAAAATTAATGTGACCTTTTTTTCTCCTTGGCCTGGAGAATCAATTTGCCTAGGAGAAAGGGAATGTGACTCTGCTTCACATTTACCAAAGGAATGAAAAGAAAGAAAAAATTAATATTCAGCTTCTGAAGCCCAAAATAGGAGAGTGCAGAAAGACACTGGCTTGAAACCCAGGCTATGTCTTAAAAGCCGTTATCAGTTGGCATTATTTTTGCCTTTTCCTGTCAACACATGGAAGACTTGGCACAGAGCACTCAGTACTGTGGAGCAGACCTTAGGTCTGGGGCAGGCAAAAACGTTCCAGGGGGCCCACAGCCTGCAGACAGGTTGGTGGAAACTAATTTCTGGATCTTCATCCAAAGTATGCTTTCTGAAACCAGTCTTTCTGAAAACTGGTCATGCTGGTTCTTGATTCCTGCCAAGAACAAAGCTGTACCTGGGCTTGGCTTCTTTCAAGGCCAAAGCCAGATATGAGCATATTCATTTCTACTGTGGCTATAGCAAATTTCCACAAAAGCAATGGCTTAACACAGTATAAATGCATTATTTTACAATTCTGTAGATCAGAGAGCCAACATAGGCTTTACTGGGCTATTATGTTGTTGGCAGGGCTGCATTTTCAGAAGCTAGAGGGGAGAATCTATTTCCTTGCTTTTTTTCAGCACCCATACAGTCCTTGGTTCCCATGCAGCCCACTTACCCTATCCTTTAAAGCAACCACTATGTAACTCCCTGTCCGTTCTTCCCTGGTCACAGCTCCCTCTGATTTTTTTTTTTTTTTTTTTTTAAGATTTATTTATTTATTTATTTATTTATTTATTTATACAAGCACTGGGTACAGTCAGAAGCACGGGAGGGTGAGAGAATTCACCAGAGCCAGAGCGGGGAGCAGAGCAGACAGAGGGACTGAAGCACACTGCTGAGGGGAGCAGCGGGCGGCAGGAGAGGTCTGCGCGCCATGTGGGACCCTCCTCCGGTGGCCGGGGAGCAGCCGGGGATCGAACCAGCGCTGCAGAGGCTGCGGGCAGCTTCGCAACCCAGCGCTCAACCGCTGCGCCACCGGGGAGGCCCCTGATTTTTTTTTTTTAAAGATTTATTTACTTTTATACAAGAACCAGGGTACAGGCCAGATGCGCAGGAGGGTAAGAGGATTCACGGGAGACAGAGCGGGGAACAGAACAGGCAGACTGACGAAATACACTGCTGAGGGGAGCAGCGGGCGAGACAGGAGAGGTCTGCCGCACCATGTGGGACTCTCACCGGCAGGCCAGGATCGAACCAGCGTTGCAGAGGCAGAGGCTGTGGACAGCTTCATAGTGCAACACTCAACCACCTGCACCACCAGGGAGGCCTTGTTTGTTTTTTTTTATTTATTTATGCATATAAGAACTTGGATACAGGCCAAAGGTACAGGGGGTGAGAGGTTCCACCATAGACAGAGCGGGGAGCAGAACAGGCAGACTGACTGAAATACACTGCTGAGGGGGGCAGCAGGCAAGGCAGGAGAGGTCTGCTGCACCATGTGGGTAGCTCCCTGGCTGCTGCTGCGGATAACTTCACAGTGCTATGCTTAACCCCTTGCCCCACCAGGGAGGCCCCAACACCCTCTGATTTTAACCTGAGACTTAGAAAGTTCTCTTAAGGACCCATTCAGATAGATAATCCAGGGTAATATCCCCTCTGAAGGCCAAATTGAATGATACTGTATTCACAGACTCCAGGGATTAAGTCGTGGACACCTTTGGGGGACCCTTGTTCTGCCTACCACAAGGAGTCACCCACATGTCGAGAGGGGTGCTCCAAGAAGAGATCTCTGCCTGACTCCCCTTTAAGGACCGTTGCCCAGGTCTCTCCTACCTCATTCCCTGCACTGTGCCTCATTTTCAGGTCAATGGCAAGTGCCCCAGCACATGAATACTGAATGAACAGTGGGCTTGCCACAGCTAGAGCAGGTAATCCCACAGCAGGCGACCAAAGGCAGCTGGATCAGCAGGGGTCTGGGGACCAGGCCAGTACTCCCTGGGAGATTTGAATGGGTGAATGGGCCATGAATGTACCAGCTGCAGGCTTCAGCAGGGCAGGCAGGAGTCAGGCTCCTGAGGGGCATCACACTGGAAACCCACAAATACAGACTCAAGGTCCAGAAACTATTTAAAGGAACTATTGAAGAAATGAAATTGAACTCTATTTGAAACTGGATGACTATTTCCATAGGTTGGCTGGCTTGTTTCCTGTAACCTAACAGGTTGGGATGATTTTTAAATATGTTCACAAATTCTTTGTTTTGCTCTCCTTCAAATGGTGACATCTATTGCTCCACCCCTTGAAAGTAGGTCAGACAGTAACTTGGCTAATGAATAGAAAATGGCAAAACTGACTCTGTAACTTCGTGGGCTAGATCACAATAAA